TCGTTTGTACTTGATCGCAGTCAGTAATCAACGTCTGAATGTTCCAAACCGAGTCACGGCTTTTGGAGGTCATTGCTAAGGTGAATGTGTGGATTGTTCTGTATTGTTCACATAAAGTGTAAAACAGTTTGATCATCTGTCTTCTGATCAAGTGGCTAGTGTACTGTATTCTGTTTATGGGTTCCCGAGTTCATGACAGCTCTTACTGGCTGCCTCCTCCTTCCTGCTAATGGCATGATTATATTTTCTATAAAAGAAGCAATAATGAAAAAGAAAACAAAAAGATCCTCAGTGGAGTTGATGCCTTCGCACTGCTAATGACTTCCAACAAGTTTGTAACAGCTGCTGTTGAAATTCCTTGCTCCATATTTGGCAAACAAACGCAAAGGAATAAGAAGCATCAAAAAGTGTGCAGTGAAACAAACAAAAAGGCAAAACATTATTCTGGTCTTTCTCTGCACTCGGTTTCTCTTCGTTTTCATCTTCAGTCAACCTCATTTTCGTTGCTGTCTGGTCGGTATCACGCCTTTCTCCGTCCGGTTATATATATTCATATAATGTTTAGTGAACGGTGGTGACATCAGAAGTTGGTGTATGCTTGCATACTCCTAAAGCCATTTATCACTCCTTTTATAATGGAAGAATTAAAATAAGCTTTGCTCAAACTGATGAATCAATGTCTCGTTCCTCTGCTTCTTCACAACTGATCCATCCGTTTCATATTTGTTTTACTCTTTCCAGACACATTCATGGTTTCATCGCTGATGGTTTATTCCAATAAGTCTGAAGCTGAGAATCCGTTCATTGTAATGAATCAATCAATTAATTTGACTTCACTTAAATTCTTCACCTGATCCATTTTTTGTGCGTTCCCCACTTTGTTCGAGTGGTTCAATATGGAGATGGATTATAATGAGACTGTAGGCAGCCAATGGGTTAAAGTATGTATAATTTAATTTGAACTAACCATCTCTCAGATTTCACCTTTACGCACAATCCTCAGTTCTTCATGTCGGAAGTACTAGACTCGAGTTTCGCTTCTATTGGATCGCATCAGTAGTGCATATCCACCGTCCATCCGGGCTTTGAACTCCGGACCCATCGCATGGAAGGTGTGCCAAGCAGCTCATACCAGAGCTGAACCGAACTGCCAATTCACGTTTGTTCAGGCGTCGTCCTCCGTGATAGTCAGTCAGTTCATTGTGGATCCGACAGCAACGAATGGAGACAGTTGACTATCTGTCAACTCCAGTCGAGAGCCTCCCACCAAATCAAGTCTTCCATGCAGGGACAATCAATATGCACGATTGATGAGCTCTAGTAAGAGCGAAACTCGAGTCTGGTACTTTTGAGTGTATGGTTGACTAGGAGAACTGAGGATTGTAAAGTCTGAAGCATGGTCAGTTCAAATCAATATCAATTATCCCACACCACTACTCAGAAGTAACTGTGAGTTAAATATGTCTAGTTTCCCTCACTGGATTAGGGAGTTAAATGGACTCCATCAAAATTTGACTTTCAGGTTGGAGGATTATTGTCTATTGGACCTTTGGGGGATCTTGTTAATTTATGACTAGCCTGATTCCCGTGTGATAAAGTAGCACCTGGTTATCTCGATAGATTCACACCAGCGGTGGTTGGACCAGTTTATTCATGATTTTCCAAATACAGCTATTTGGTCAGGGACCGGCGATGGGCGAACTCCCGTACCAGCTTTTGCTAACCCTAGTGCTCGACAGTCGTTTGATATCGTTTTTTGTGCAACGGATTTTTTCAATCTGTATCAGGTTGTTGACCTCCGTCTATTGCTCAGGCCACATGTAATAATGAGCCGTGTTACGTGCCACCAGCTGTCTCGGGTTCATGTGGTAGGACAAGAGGTCAACGAACTTCAAGAGCCAATCAGAGACTTCCTGTCCGAGTAAACAAGCCCATCGGCACATTTCTTTCGTTCTTCAAAGCACCCCCAAATGTCGTTTATCTGTCGTTGCTGAACACATTCTTTCACGACTGATTTGTTTACTATCAACTATTTGGCGTTACTTTTCCCAACTGAGCGTAATCGATGGATAGTCGATCGGACTACCGTCAATTTCTGGCACGCATGCTCCAAGAGGTGGTGTTTCTTTGACTTTGTGCTATTTAGTTCGATTTAATTACATCTCACCTGTATGCGCATTCGTGCAAATAATGTGACTGGGCCGGGGGGTGAGGGAGGTGGTCTTCGAACTTGTTCCGATACTCACATTCGTTCTCAGACGTCGAACCCAGAGTGTATTGTGGGTAAATAGCTGGCGCTTCTCCAAACCAATAGGTTATTTGAACAACGGGTTGGGCTTGCCGTACTAATATAGTACAGTATAGTATGCTCATATTGAAAAGTAGTGTTCCAATGCCCGATAGAGCTGTAACCTAACTAATATGTTGTCGTTCGGAAAGAGTTTCTGGTAGTGCCTACTCTAACGACTATAGAATAACACCCGCACTCCAACTCATTATTCTTTCACGAATCGAAAGCGGTCGTCTTGAGATTAGGATAGCAGCACTGTTAGGTACTATTTTTCAGGATATTCCTTCAGATGCATACTTCTTCGTTTCATTCAATCTTTCCTTAGAACCTTCTTTCACCACGTTTTTCCAACTCACTTCATATCACCTTTCTATTTGCCCCAACTGTTTATTTCTCTCATAGTTCGGAGACACAGCTTTGCACACAGCCACCCGATACGGTAATCTGAATGTGGTTCGAATCTTACTGTCCCACGGAGCTCGTCAGGACGCTTGCAATCGAAACTTGGATAGTCCGTTGCACGTGGCTGTCGGGTTGCGACACTATGAGATAGCAAGCCTGTTGGTTGAAACCAGTCGAACGAATCACCAATCGGTGGACGTATGCACTTTGCTGAACGCTCAAGGCGAAACTCCGTTGGATTTGGCGAGGCGGAAAAATTACGCGGAGTTTTACTATTTGTTGCGACTGAACTATGGATCGAATCGGGACGAGGTATTTACATGATCAATCCATCTAACAGGGAGTGTTGCTGAGATGTTTGCCAGATCTGTAACGGCTTGGGCCTGGGTGGAAAAGTATCAGTCACATTTGTGTCAGATGATTTCGTTCGTGCCCGACCTGATTACTCTCCACAATCACCGGTTTCTTTGCTGATGCGTGCAATTGCTCGTCTAGTAGTGTGGTCAGTCCACACACCCCTATGGGAATACTACGTGCCAAAGGGCATGGTTTATTTGGATTAGGAAAGTTTCTGAGCTTTGAAAGAAATTGTTGACGAAATTTGATTTTATGTTAAATTTTGTCTGACACAAAGCATATGGAATCGTGAACTGAAAATCTAGTAAACATCCGTCGAACGTCAGACATCACAGGTAGAACGCAAGTAAAATACCTACACGACCACCGAGCAGCTGATCAAACTGATTTTCGCTTTCCCTTATCGATTATTGGACTCTCTCGGAGTCATTCCCTGTGAGTCTCTCAGAGTTGGGCTATTTTTCTTTCTCATCAAAGATAAAAAAATACCGGGCCTCTAGTATAGTATATCCATATATATAGTATGACAATATTTTTATTTCACTCTGTTTCACATAAAACGTATGTACAATCAACAACCTGGCTTTGGTCCAGAGGAGGGGGAAAGCAACAAACGAAAGATTGGGAAGTACGATGTTGTCGTAC